CACTCAGCAAGGGATGGGGTATAAAAGTGTGCTTTAAAATAAGGTGACTAGAGCTGAATGTGGTGGTGATACATGCCTATAATCCCAACACTTGGAAGATTAAGGCAGGAGGATTGTGAGTTTAAGGCCAGTCTGAGCTACATAGTGAGAACCCATCAAAAAACAAACAACAAAAAAAGTAAAAATAAAATAATATAGGGTAGCTGTAGTCACCTCCACAAGGGCCAGTCTTAAAGGGGTGAGGAAGGAAAGGATGCAGAGAGCTGGGCAGGGCAGCTTCAGGCCCATGTGGAGTATACCTGACAGGCTCTGGGAAGAGCCCTCAGCAAGGCTGGAGGGAGTGAGCATAGAGCAGAGGGAAATGGATCATACGGCTTGAAGGGGCCAGATGGCCTAGCATCTTGCAAGCCATGGTGCTTTTATTTATTTATTTATTTATTTATTTTTTGGTCTTTTTGAGACAGGGTCTCCCTGTAGCCCCAGCTGTCCTGGAACCCACTATGTAGACCAGGCTGGCCTTGAACTCACAGAGATCCACCTGCCTTCACCTCCTGAGTGCTGGGATTAAAGGCGTGATGCTTTTATTCTTAGTGGCATGGTAAGTCATCTATAGGTTTTGAGCAGAATTACATGATTTGACCTACGTTGTTGTGATGATATTATATTATTATATTAAATATTAAAATGAATATTAACTATTTAAAAGGGCCTGGCACAGAGCCTGGAGCATGGCTTGTGTCCTGCCTTCCTTCCATACAGGGGCATTCCTTGATTTGTTTGCGAGCATCTGTGGGAAGGCACAGACCCATGCTGGTCACTGGCTCCCTCTCCTGGACTAGTCCATGCCAGTAGCAACAACTGGAAGAGGTCAGGACCTGGCCATGTCAGTTGTTCAAGGCAGCTGTCTTTAAGGTGCTTGTCTGTCCCTCAGCATGGGCCCCACAATGCCCTGTAGTCTGGCACCTGACTGGGTGGTTGTGCTGCCAGGTTGCCTGTCTTTTGATCACAAGTCTATGGTGTCATGGAAAGATATCTGGACTCCAGAGGCCAAGGAGCCAGAGGTTCCTGTATTCCTTTGCTATAGTTGGCTGTGTGATCTTGGCAGATTCATGTCACCTCTCTGGGTCATGAAACAGTGAACTGAATATAAGTTGTTTTGCTTACTGTTTGTTTTGAGACAAGATTTTGTTATGTAGCCCAGGTCAGCCTGGAGCTTGCTGTGTACACAGGCTTAAATATTTTATTATTTTTGTTTTATGTGTATGAGTGTATTGCCTGCATGTGTGTAAGTGCACCTGTGTCATGCAGTGTTCGAGGAGGTCAGAAGAGGGTTTTGGATTCCCCTGGAACTAGAATTACAGATGGTTATTACCCACCATGTGGGTGCTGGAAATTGAACCCAGGTCCTCTGTAAGAGCAGCCAGTGCTCTTAACTGCTGAACCATCTCTCCAGCCCCACATAGGCTAGTCTTAAATTCATAGCTCTTCTTCCTCAACCTCCCCACTGTTAAGATTACAAACATGAACCACGATGCCTGGCTCCTTTAAGTTTTAATCACGTACTGCATGTGCATGGGGAAAATCCTAGTAAATGTCCATTGAGTAGTTGAAGGAGGTGGGTGTTACCAACCCTTCCTAGTGAATATTTAATTTAGAGAAAAGTAAATAAACGTGCCCAGTGGGTATTCATTCAAGAAGTATTTAAATATTTAATGAGTATCTACTTATGTACCAAGTACTCTTCAGGGTGCTAGGAATATAGTAGTGAATAAAATAAATAAAAACTATCCTTGGACAGCTGAAATTTTTAGGTATTGAATCAAAGGTCACTGATTCATTTGCATATGTGCCCTGGTGAGCTGTGTTGGGAGGAAGGAGGGGGAAGGGAGTGACCTCAGAGGGCAGGGCTGGGAGTTCAGCCAGAGTGGACAGATGGGGTAGGAGGCTGCCCACTGGGCCTTCAGTTCCTGACACAAGGATCTAGCTGCCTCTACAGTCCTTCCTGTTCCCTCCTCAGGTGGAGTTGGAGTTAGCCTGGGTCTGGCCTTTAGGCCAGTGGAGAGCCCCTGTGAGCCTGCCCCTTTCTCAATGTACAGAGACTTGTAGAAAACTCCAGATCAACTTGAGGAGCAGGGAGAGGTTTTTCCATGGAGGCGACTGGGGTGAGGTACATCAAAGAGCTGGCACTAGATGCATAGCCATGTGAGAACTAAACATTTTGGGGGCTGTTTTGCTCATTTCCTGGGTTTCTGTGTGTCACTGCTCACCGGAGCAGGCTCAGGAAGGTTCTACTCAGAATGTTTCCCTTGGGTATGGACATGACCTTCTTTCTGAGGACAGGCAGGTATGATTACAGTATGCAGAAAAAAAGGCTTTCCTTCAGAGCATCCCCACTGCAGAGGCCACTATGGAGCTAGGAGTGCCCAATACTGGGGACAGGCAGAAGAGCTTGATCACTTGCTGCCACAGATGATGAGATGGGATGAGGCTTGGAAGGGGGCTTCTGGATGGGGGACTTCTGAGGTATGACTGAAATCTGAGATCCCTGGTGTCCCCTACCCTCGGAACTCATCTGTATCTAGGCTGTTGTATTCTGTCATGAACTACTTGTCCCTTTGCTCTGTGTGGGTCTGGTGAGTGCACATACTCCACTCAGGGTAAAGGAGAAGCAGCAAAGCTCCAGAAACCACTTACAGACTTCTACCACCCCAGCCTTATCGACCAAGGCCAGGCTTCTACCCCAGGTGCTCCCCAGAGAGGTCAGCTCAGATTCCAGTTTCAAAGATAGGTGGCTCCTTGCCCACACCTCCTACTCTACTCCCATAGAAAGACACAGCAAATGCTGTTCTAGGTCTATGTTCTGTGAGAATTTCTCTATAGGCTGACTGAATTCAAACATTTAGGGGACAGAAATGACAAGGAGTCAAGGTGGCAACAGTGGGGACTTGGGGCAGATCCTCAAAGCAGGCCTGCTTAGAGAGGCAGGGTTATAACAAAAGAGGGAAAGAAAGAGATTTTGGAAGTTTCTGGAAAAGCCAGTTTGGAATGATTGAATAGGGACTTTAAGACTAAAGCCTCATTAGGTTTATTTGCCCATTTGCCCACAGACTTCCTGCATTCCTTTAGCATCTTTCAGTCTCTACCCTCTTCCATCGCCTTTAAAGGTCACTCTCTTAGATATGGAAGGAGCAGCATGAAGCCTCAGGCCCAGGGACTTATGTTCCTTAAATCGTTCATCTACCTGGAATATGTTTTAGGAAGTGAAAAGGGAGATAACCTTCACACCTCCCTCCCAGACCCTTTGACTATCCAACTTTCTCCAAGGCCTCTATTGATAGAAATGCCTCATTCAACATACACGAGTCCCATATGTATGTGGAGCTTGTTTATTCCATTAATATTTCATGTTTCCTTTTCATTCATAAAATATTCTTCAAATGTTTTGCTTTTATTTTATGTGTATGAGTGCTTTGCCTGCTTGTATGTAAGTGCACCCATGTCATGCAATGCTCTTGGAAGTCAGAAGAGGGAATCAGATGCCTTGGAACTGCAGTTAAGGACCATTGTTTGATACCCTGTAGTCCTCTGCAAGAGCAACAAGTATTCTTAACTGCTGAGCCAGCTCTCCAGCCTCTTCATTCATAAAACTTTTTAAGTTATCCTGGCCTCATAATATTTTCATGTTTTTAAAAATATTTTATTATGTTAATTTTATATGTATGAGTGTATTGCCTGCATGTGTATAAGTGCACCCATGTCATGCAATGCCTATGGAGGTCAGAAGAAGGCTTTGGATCCCCTGAAACAGGAGTTATAGACGATTGTTAGCCACCATATGGGTGCTGGGAATCGAACCTGGGTCCTCTGCAAGAGCAGCCAGTGCTCTAAACTGCTGAACCTTCCCAGCCCCACATTTTCATGTTTTATTCCATTGATTTCTTTCTTTTTTTAATATGTGCCAAACTCCCCTCTCCTCTCCTCTTCCTCAATTCTCTTAAAATTTCCTTTTATTTGTGTTCAGGTGTTTTGTTGTTTTGATTTTGTTTTTGAGACAGGGTCTCACTAGGTAGTCCAGACTGGCCTTGAAACTGTGGCCTTCCTGCCTCAGCCTCTTGAGTGCCAGTGTTGAGATTACAGGCCTGCCTACCTCCCTTGGCTCTGTTTGGTATTTTGACACCATATTACATTGGAATTACAGATGCGTGTAGGATGAGTTGATGTTTATTTAGAGGTGTTTTTTTTTTTTTAAAACAGGGTCTCACTGTATAGCCCTTGCTGTGTAGCCTTGCAGACCAAGCTGACCTTGAACACAGTTATCTGCCAGCCTCTGCCAGTGCTGGGATTAAAGATGTGTGTCACCATGCCCAACTCATTTTTTTAAAGTATTAAGCCTAGTTATTCAAGTAAAAGTTGTCTTTCTACGTTTGTAAACATTGTCATTTTGTCTGAATTGGTCTCTGTGCATTAAAGTCTTAGAAAGGGTTAGTAGGTACTTGGGAAACTGAGGCAGGAGGATCAGGAGTTCAAAGCTAGTCTCCAGAACAGAGGGAATTTGAAGCCATTCTGGGCTACATGAGACTCTGGCTCAAAACAAACAAACAACAAACCCCAAACAAACAAACAAACAAAAAGAAAAGAAAAGTTAATGGGAAAAGGTTAGAAGCTTTTTGGGGGGATAGGACTGAGGAAGCCTCTTTCACAGCTAGTCTGTGGAAGAGAACCACAAATCATACCCCCATCCCTGCCACACCCAGATGATCTCAAGGTGGGATAGAGGGGTTAAGGGGCAGACTGGACTTAACAGGAGGCACTATGGCTTTCCCACAAAAGCCCCTTATCCAGACTCCCTTATGCTGCACACAAACTTGCAGTGCTGGGAGGCCTATGGGGCAATCTGGCTGGGATGGAGGGTGAGTTAATCTCAGGGTGATGGGCAGTGTGACAGGCCTGCCCCTCCCCCCCAAGAGACTCAACAGTCAATACAGCAAGGGCATGCAGGCTTGTGCTTGGCTCTTTATTGTTTCTGTCCAGGGCCCCTGCAGTGGGAGGGGCAGGCGTGGGAGGTGGTGCCCTCCTGTCAGCCTGAGCCCACTCTTTGCCTCTCTTTCTTCTCCTCTCCAGCAACTTACCCACCCTTTCTCCTTCTGCATCTCCTGCTCCCACATCCGGCACCTTCGGGGTTCCCTCTAATAGCCCCTGCTTTCTAAGTCTATCCTGGGCTGGGGATGGGAAAGAGAGGGGCCAGTGGGACAGTTTCAAGCCCCTCATTTTCCATCTCTGCTTGCTGAGGAGGCTTCCCACTATATCTGACCCAGGCTGGGGGTAGGGGGTGAGGTGGTCCATGGGACTCTGTCCTGACCCTGCAGATCCCAACATCCTCTCTGGTACCTTCTCCAAAGCCAGAGGCTAGAGCCTGAGGTCATGAAAGTGGGAGAGGCAGGGTCATGACTTGAGCTGGCCTCTATCTGTCATAAGATCCAGACTCAACTGCCACCCCCAGAACTCATGGTAGGATCTCAGGGGTGTCTGGGGCGCTTCCTGGGGCTGAGCAGGATAAAGACTACAAAAGGGTGACCAGTGAGGAAGGGTCAGAGGCTGTGAGGGGAGGAAGGTGCTGAGTGTGACATCGGAGAGTGGAAGAGGCTGGCTTCAAGAGGCAGTGAGGATGGGGCCAGGATGATGTCTGGCTTTAGAGCACCTCGTGCTGCTGCTGTGTGGCTTCACTGACGACCTGAGCAGGAAGAGAAATTCAGTCTAGCCCACTGCTGGCCAAGAGAAACTTCAGGCCCATTTACCCAACCCCAGAGCAGCAGGACCCTTAGCCAGGGCTAGTACCAACTCAATTGGTGGAGAACATCCCCATAGCTCCCATCAAGGACAAAGGGGCCAAACAGACTACTCACCTCTCCATCCCGGGTCTCAATGGTCTTGATCATCACAGTCTTCTTGGTGTGGACTTCAGAACCTCTTTGTTCAGGGCTGGTTTCTGTAATAGACGCACCACGTGTTCAGCCTGGCCAAGTTCATATTTGGGCTGCACCATGGCTGGGAATCTACCCCAGGATGCACTGCCCAAGCCCTGGCTGATTCTCATCTTCTCATGACAGCCTTTTGACTTCTTCAAGGCATGAGCATCTGACCTTGAACCCAGTACCCTGGTGGTGGTCGAAGCTAACAGATTATACTGAAAGGGCTGGTACAGGACGGGAGAGGACGGAGGTCCAGGCTGTCCCACATTCATATTCCCTATTCCTCCTTGCTTCCACTCCAACCCTGGACTTCCAGGAGAGTCCTATGTAAGTCTGCATCCTGGGACTCTCCTCTTCTAAGAAAGGACCCCCAAACCCTTGGTGTCTTAATATGAAGAAGATGCAGCAGAAGTTAGACCCATTCACTGTGCTGATCCCCCTGCACTGCTGAGCCTCTCTTTCCTCACTGGGAAATGGTGGCTATGGTATTTTTCCTACTGTGGTCACAGAGCTACTGGTTTGCAAAAGTGCTAAGTGATCTCATATATGGGATATATACTTGGTGTCTGAATAAACAACTGAAAGGAGAGGTCTGAGTTTTATAGTGGGGGTCACATTTAGGTCCTTCGAGAGTTTGGCATTCATGAATCCCTTAGCAAGCAACTAGCCTGTAATGAACTTTGTGACTCGATGGAGCACAGCGTGTTTTTCCTGATGGGAATGAACATTGAAGATATAAAAGGTTTGATCTAGGAAAGGAGCAGCTGCCAAGGACTCTGACTTGATTTCTTAATGTATCATTAGTGCATGCTTTTCTGCTCTCTGGGGTTGGAAAGCCACTCGATCTGCATATTACTAATGTCAGGATGGCAGAATGCCCTAAAAGCTCCTTCTTTTCATTGTTTGGCTTTGCTAAAATTTGGCTGCTTTTTTTTTTTTTTTTTTTCAAATGTGCATCCAACATCTTGCTCCTGCAAATGAGGTACTCAACAAACAGCCAGAAAAAATTTTGCCAAGCACTGTCTGGCAATATGCCAGATAGATCATGAGCAAGGGGTGCCTTTTAGCCCAGGAAGTGAGATGCTCCTAACTGCTAGGCCTCTGGGAACACCCCTGCTACTTCCAGAGTTTGGGATTCTGGACACAACATGATTCTTGAGGCCCAGTAATCCAGAAAGTACAAAGGATGTGATCAGCACAACACAACAACAAACCAATAAAAAGCCCCCCTCCTCTCTTTTTCTCTCTCTCCCTCCCTCCCTTCCAGAAGGTACCTGATCTGCCTCTTTCTAAAATCTCTGCCTACCCTAGGCAGCCCCCTTTCTCTTTCAGGCCTGGCCTGCTCCAGGGATCTAGTCTCCTCTGCTGGTGGGCTTGGGCAATGCCCAGGCTGAATTCCTGGCCCCTGCAACCCCACCTGCACCACCCAGTACACACTCACCTCGGAAGTTGAGAGCAGAGAAGGTCTGGATAGGAAGATTGATCCTAAAAAAGGGAAAGACCACATCCCCAGAAGGTTAAGGACATTCAAAACTGTCCCTGAAATCACCCATCAAGAGTCCTTTAGGCTGGTACTCCCTAAGCACCATTTTCAGCTGTTCTAGACCCAACGACCCCAATAATCCCACTACTCACACTGCACAGAGCATGGGGTCAAGGGCCACCTCTAGCTGTTCCAGGAATTGTCCATTCTGGGAAGATTAATCATTCTAATCCTGACCTCACATATATCACCAAGACACCCAACCCCACCAGCACCCTCCAGGTCCCCAGCACTACCTTCTTGCTTCTGGCACTACAGGAGGCATGAACAGCAACTGTGAGTGATATCCACTTTGTGCCTACCCTTCAGGCAAGCCAGTTCCAGAGCTGGTCATTTATAACTAGTGCTGGAAAAAGGCATCCAGCTCTAGGTACCTTAAAAGGCCATCTGTGTTATATTAGATGAGGATGTCATTCTATGAAACCTACAGGCTAGGGATGTGGCTCAGTTGGTAGAGTGCTTGCTTAGTATGCACAAAGTCCTGGGTTGGATCCCTAGCACTGCATAAACTAGGAGTGGTAGCACACACAGACTGTTTGAGTCCCAGCCTTCAGGAAGTGGAGATAACTTGTTGAAGGTCATCCTTGGCTATATAACAAATTTGAGGTAACCTGAGCTACTTGAAGCCCTTCTCAAAAGAATCAAGCAAAAACCCTGAAATGTCTATTTGTATGAGTATCAATGGTGCCATTTTTTGAAGTAATCAACTTGTCTTAAATTGACGTTAAACTTACATGCAGTGAAATGGGCAGATATTTAGTACACATCCAATGAGTACTGAGAAATGTCTATTTCTATGCAACTACCAGTTCAATCAAGAAATACATCATTTCTACTTCCCAGAAAGCTCCCTTTCATCCGTTTCCTGTGTCTGGAGGTAGGGTGGGTTGCTTTGAGTACATCACCTATGTCTTTCTTTTCCTATGAGCGCACACACACACACTCATGTGTGTACGTGTGCCTATCCATGTGCAAGCCTTCTTGCCTCTTCATGTCTTTGTTTGTCTCTAGCTGTCCCCTCCCTTTTCTTCTGACTCTGCTTTCATTTCTCCCTTGACTGGCAATAATATTTTATTACTGATTGCCAAATATGATTTTATGCTACAGGTTCTTAATTCTAAAGGTGGATAAGGGAATACTTATATTTCTCTTTTTATAAAAAGCTGTTAATTACATCTCTCTTTACCCAGGTGCCCCTAGTTAATTCTCTGCAAGAGCAGAACAGTGGCCTCATATAAAATTGTTTCTGGGTCTTGCTGAAGTCATCTGGGATGGACTGAGCCCCCAGCACCCTACCCCTAGCCCTTGTATGGACCCTCACCGGCTTTCCTCGCCCTCCAGCAGCTTCCGGTAGGTGGCAATCTCCACATCCAGGGCCATCTTCACATTGAGCAGATCCTGGTACTCGCGTAGATGGCGGGCCATCTCATCTTTGAGGTGCCTGATCTCTTCCTCCAGGCGTGCAATGTTGTCTTGGTAGCCACTGGCCTCACTGGCAAAGCGGTCCTCTAGCTCCCTCATCTGCCTCATCAGGGAGTCATTCTGCAGGAGGTGAGGGAGCCCAAGTCAAGGGCAGACCAAGCATGTCCAGGGAGGAGGACACCAGGTAACCAAGATAGGAAGAGACTCAGTGTCGGGGCTAGGAAGCAACTCCATATCAGTTCTACAAACTGTCAAAGGCTTCTTAGCCATGGGATCCTAAACTCAAATAAAGTCTTATGTGGTCACTCAGAATAAAAGGAAGCATCTATGTTAATCCTCCAATCCTATACAAGAACACACCCCCAGGAGTCCTCAATTCTTATGCCTAACTAGGAATCTACCCATCTGGTTTTACCCCTAAGTGCATTTGAGGAGATGAAGGCCAAGAGAGGGCATGTGATAGGCTCAAAGACACAGAGTGAGAGTGTGAGCTGAGCAACAGGCAGGAAGAGGCAGGGACTCACAGTGCCTTTGAGGGCATCAATCTCGCAGGTATAGGACTGGATCTGGTGTCGATACTCCATCATCTCCTGCTTGGCCTGACGCAGTGCATCATTGTTCTTATTGGCTGCCTGGGTCAAGTCGGATACCTGAGAGCACAGAAAGGAGCTGTGAGACAGGGAGGAGCCAGATGCTGGTGGACAAGGGGTCATGGAAACTCCAGGGTCACCCTCCTACATGGATGCAGGTAAAGGCAGCATCTCCAAGCTGAGATGGAGGGAGAGAGAGGTGCCAGAGTCCCCAGGCCAGCCACCCACCTTGGACTTGTACCACTCTTCAGCTTCAGAGATGTTCTTAGCAGCGATGGTCTCGTACTGAGCCCGGATGTCCCTGAGGGCAGCTGTGAGGTCTGGCTTGGACATGTCCATCTCCACTTGGACCTGCTGTTCCTGAAGCTGGGCCTGTAGCTCACGGATTTCCTGCAGGGTGTGGCCAAGCTTCAGACCCCATCCAAACCCTCCAAAGCACCCTCACACTCCCAAGTTGGGGTCAGCCCCACATTCCAGCTACTTTCCCCATCACCCAAGGAGCCTACGTACCTCTTCATGTACTTTCTTAAGGAATGCGATTTCCTCGTTGAGAGATTCAATTCTGCGCTCTAGGTCAATGCGAGCTAGAGTGGCTGCATCTACATCCTGGATGAGGAAAACAACAAGGTCAGAGTCAGGGACAACCCAGGCAGAGGCAAGGAAGGGAGAAGGGAGAAGACCAAAGAGGGGACCAAAGAGGGCTCACCGCTCTGAAGGCAGCCAAGTTGTTCTCTGCTTCTTCTCTCAGTTGGATTTCTTCCTGTAACCTAGCCAAGACAGAGAGACAAACAGTAGGGGACAGAACTGGCAGTGGAAACCACTGGCTTCGGATCTAGCAGGAAGCCAACTCAGGACACAGGGAGAAGGCTTGGTTGCTGGGTAGAGACAAGAGGTCCAGAAAAAGAGTAGCAGAGGCTCCACCCCATGGGGGGCAGGAAATGGACTAGTCTCTGTCCTGGAGCCACACCCTTGAAATCTATGTCCCAGATAGACTGTGACCTCCCTGGGGTTAGGAACTGTGTCTATTTTATCTGCCTCTGTGTCCCAGGTTCTCAGCCCCAGCCTTGCCTACATAACAGCTAAATTAATGTTTGTGACTTTGGTGGCAGGAGGGTGACTCTGCTCACTTGTAAACAGAAGCAGGACCCACAGATACTCTGTAATACTCTATATGGCGTCTTTTGGTATTCTTTCTTTTTCTTTTCTGAGGTAGGTCTTGCTATGTAGTCCTGGTTGACTGGGTACTTGCTCTGTAGCCCAAGCTGGTCTCAAACTCATGTCAATCCTCCTGCCTCAGTCTCCCAAGTGCTAGAATTACAGGGGTGTGCCCTTATGCCCAGATTACTCAGCCTTTGTTCCTGGTGGAACAGACTATTCTGTCTGAGGTTTTCAAGGGCTACCACCACTATCCACTGTCTCCTTTACACAAGCCTATTCAGTTGCCCTGTGCAGTAGTACAGCCAAGCTCCCAACTTCACCCCTCCCCAGGATCTCATCACAGCTCAGCTGAGCCATTACTGCTTGGTGACCCTCCTCTGGGCTTCCCAGCTGGTCCTCCTTTCCAGTCTGCCATCCACCTCCCTTCTACCTCTGACTATGCTTTGCCCCTCCATCCTTCCTCTGTCATGGACATCCCCATTCCACCACTCCAGCAGCTTAGCAGCCTGGCAAAGGCAACTGTCCACAAGGCACTAGGCCTCTCAGGGTCTCCCATGTTTTTCTCTGTATCTATCTCTCCAAGAAAAGTACTCCCGAGTTACATGGAGGGAGCACAAAGGAGAAAATCTGGGGCCACCTCTCCTTAGGGAACACCAGGGAACGACCCTTTCTAAAAATGGGACGGGGACTATCCCTGTCCGTCCCCGGAAGAGGGTGCTGACAGCATAAGGGGGGGCCTGCTCCCTACGGGAGTGGGTGAGGGGAAAAGAGGGAAAGGTCTGGGAGGCGCTGGGCCCTCACTTGGCCTTGAGCCGCTGCAGGTCGTCGATCAGGTTGTCGCGCTCCACGTCGACTCGGGCACGCTGGTTGGTGAGCACCTCCACCTGGCGCCGCAGCTCGCGCATCTCCTCTTCGTACAGCTCAGCTACGCGGGTCGGCTCGCGGCCCTTGAGCCGGTTGACCTCGGCAGCGAGCGCTGCGTTCTGCTGCTCCAGGAAGCGCACCTTCTCGATATAGTTGGCGAAGCGGTCATTGAGCTCCTGCAGCTCCACCTTCTCGTTGGTGCGAGTGGTCAGGAACTCCTGGTTCACTGCGTCGGCCAGTGAGAAGTCCAGCAGCTCGCCCGCGCCGTAGGAGGGCCCGCGGGTGGTCCCCAGCCGGCTGGCCCGAAGAGACCCCAGGCCCCCGGCCCCACCCGACGTGCGCGACACCTGGTACACGCGGGATGTCATCGAGCTCGAGGAGCCCTTGGTGCCGAAGCCTGCGCGGGGGAACACGGGCGAGCTCAGCGGGGAGCCGAGCGAGAAGCCCGGGGCGCCGCCGAAAGTGCGGCGGTAGGAGGACACGCGCTGGCTGGACGAGTAGGCCTGGCTCATGGTGGCGGTGGATGAGGCTGGGCGGGCGCACGGAGGAGGCAGTGGGCGAGCAGCCGGCTGGAGAGTGGATGCGACGAGGGGAGACAGAGCCCCTTAGCCGCCTGCACTATTTGTAGCCCTCCTGACATCAGCCCCCGCCGCCCCTCCCCTGACAGCTGCAGGATCCCGCTGTCCTGCCAGGAAAGGGCGGCCGCTGGCGCGGGGGTAGGGAGGCCAGCTCCCCAGCAAGAGGCCTGCGCCCCTGAGACGCCGGTGAGTGAGGGGCTGACCCACTCAAGATGACAGAAGACGGGCGGGCCTGATCCGGCCTTACAGAGCAGCAAGCCTTCTGGAAACCCCAAGCGGGCCCCTTTCTGCATTTGGGGCCCCCTTTTTTATCCAAGGAGAGACCTTAGGTAATTGGAATGAACAAGGACCCGAAAGCACCTTATTTGTAAAGATTGCCTTGAAGGTGCAGAGGTTTCCAAGTACTGGGGCAAAGACCAGGAGTCCACCAAACACAGCCAAAGCAAAGGGATCTCTAGGCAGGCTTGGTGGGTAGTGGAGGCACACGGTGGGCAGAGAGCAACCCTGGTCAGTACCTGCCTGCTTATGCATATCACTGCCACCTGGGTTCTAGCTTTGAGCCTCAGTTTCCCTCTGGACCAATGTAGGCCTACTGCTTCCCTCAAGTTTATAACCAGCTTGGTAATTTCCAGAAAGACCTACAGGCTGTTTCCAATTGTGTGTACAGTTGCTCCCCCGCATTGACTTCACCCAGCTCCTACCCTCCTATCTTCCTCACCCCCTCTGATTCATCCCCCTACTCACTCACACCACCCACACCCACTCACACCAGGGGTTTGTGTTTTGTCAAGAGCCACATGTCAACCCAGCCATCTTCCTGGCAGCAACAGCTGCCAAGCTGAAATACCAGAGCTGGTATTTATAGAGGAGAATGCATGGACTAGGAAGCAAGGTACAGGAGAGGAGCTCTGGGGGCTGGGAGCCAGGCACCTGAGGAGATATGGGTGTTGAGGAAGGCTGAAGGTGACAAGCACCAGTGACTCCAGGCCCCCAACAGGAATGAAGCCCTAAAGTGGGTTTGTTCTTTCCTTCCCAGCCCAGCTTAGCACAGGGCACTCGCTGATCCCTAAGGACATCCATACTTCTCCATGCACTCTGGCTGTGTCTCTACACCTTCACCTGACACTCTATGGGCCTCTCTTAGGCCTGACCCTCCTGTAAACAGAGCGTTAGACTAGTCCATAGCTAGTCCTGCCCAGCCCTGGGTGCTGCAGCCAGAGTTAGTTGAAGGTATGTCCTTCACCTCCCCAAACCTTGGTGTCCTTAGCCATAAGTTGGGACCAGGCAAGCCTTGTATGCCTGCCCAAAGGTTTGAACAGTTCCAGGCAACAATAAAGCTCACAACAAAACATATGTGTTAACCACCTGCTGACAATGTCACACCTGTGATTCCCCAGTTCTCCAGCAACCCCATGAAGTAGGGACTGGAATGAATTCCATTTGATTGCTCAGCAAGGTGAGGCAACTTGACTCCAGGTGGCCTCAAGCTGGATGTGACTGCAGATGTAAACTGTAAAGGACTTTGCTACTGCTGCCTTCTCAAAGCCCGTCACATTAAGTGTCTAATTTTTATCCAAGAGACAAGCTTATGAGGTGGATGGGGAGTTCCAGATATTCTTATCCAGTCTTCAAGTCAGTGCAAGCTGTTGTGTTCTGGTTATTTTTGGGTCTCATCTCCCAATCTAGACTGTATGCTCCTGGAGGATTCTGGAGGCTGAGTAGCTATTTAACACATCCCCGGCAGCACCTTCAGTTATTGTCATTCAAGTAACCTACAGGCTTCCTTGCCCATCCCTTTACTCTGAGGACAAGCACTGCACCCCTTGCCCCAGCCCAAAGAGTAGTGCTGATCCCAACCAGTTTTATTATTGCAAATTCTGACTGCAAGGATTGGCTCAAGGGGAATGGGCCTTGAATAGAGCCAATCAGAGACCTCCACTGGAATTTATAGATGAAACAGGAATTGCTGAACTGGCTCTTATAGAGGCCTTGTTTCCTGGGGGAGTGGGGCCGGGGAGTATGCAAGGCCTGGAGAGCTGTAGAAGAGGAGCTGGAGGTCTAGGTGCAGCCCTCAGCTCCAACCCCTGGGGGCTGCATTGGAAGCACTGCCTGCAGGGAGTGGCTCCTGCTCTGTCTTCCACTTTAGACAATAAACTCTCCCTGTTTTTCACTTCGGGCCCTTGGTGTTGGCTTCAGTCACTTACAGCCCAAAGAAACAGATGTGCAGAATGAACCCATTTCTATTATGATGCCACCAAGGAAGACATTTCCAGGGCCCCATGAACCATCCCTAGAACACATAAGGGAATTAGCTTTCAGACCAGCTCCAGGCCTCAGTTCCTCGGTGAAATGAGGCAGAAAACAAATAAATAAATTGCATTATTTCTTCTCTTAAGTCAAAATCAACTACCAGACTTGGCTCCAAACCAGTTGGGACCATTTCCAAAACACAGTTCCACTCCTGAGGATTTGCTGCCATGGAGGGCGCAAAACAACACCCTGGGGCTTGGAAAGCAGGTGGAAGAGGAGCTCTCCAAAACACTCTCATAGCTAGCCAGCCAGCAGTGCCACTGGAGTAAGAGCTTGGCCTCCTGAGGGGACCAGTGGGCACACTAAAAATAATCATCATTTACCTGGATGGGTGATGTATACAGTCACAATTCAAGATATATGGAAAGGTTTATAGTGGAAAGTTACTGTCTTCTCCATCTTTCAACACTCAGCCATTCCACCCACCCCGCCCCCCAGCTACACTACCAGTTTTAGGTTGTAGTTGTTACTGTTGTCCTAGAGACACCTTGAGTACATTCAAGCATATTTATATAAATGGAACTGTCCCTTTTTTCTTTCTCTCTCTCTCTGTCTCTTTTTTTTTTTTTCTTCTTCTTCAGTTTTTTGCTTTTGGGTCTTATCATGTAGCCCAGGGTGGCCTCCAGCTCAAGATCCTCCTGTCTTAACTTCCAGAGTGTTAGGTTTTATAGGTCTGGACCATCACACCTGGCTCTTTCCCCTTTTAAGATATTTTACATATTGGTCTAAGTCAAATTGCTTTCAATAAGCATGTTAAGTGTCTTATTAGTTGTGTTGATTTTTACTATTAAAAATATATGTAAAATAAAATTGACCTTTGTTTGAGACAAGGTCTACTATGTAGCCCTGGCTAGTATGGAACTCTGATACATAGGCCAAGCTGGCCTCAAACTTGCCTTGAGATTAGGCATGTACCACCTCGCCTGCCCATTTGTACCATTTCTATTTATTTATTTATTTATTTAGTTAGTTAGTTAGTTAGTTATTTAGTTAGTTAGTTAGTTATTTTTATTTTATGTGTATGAGTGTTATGCCTGCATGTGTGTCAGTGCACCCATGTTATGCAGTGCCCAAGGAGGACAGAAGAGGACATCAGATCCCCTGGAGTTATGGGCGATTGTTAGCCATCATGTGGGTGCTGGGATTTGAACCTGGGTCTTCTGTAAGAACAGCCAGTATTCTTAATCACTGAGCAATCTCTCCAGCCCCCCCATTTTCACCATTTCTAAGCACATAGTCAGCAGCATTAAGTATATTCTTATTTGTGCCATCATTACCAGCACCAGTCCTTAGAGTATTTTTGTCTTCCCAAATTGAAACAACACAGCCATTTAAAAATAATGCTCCATCAGGGGCTGGAGAGATGACTCAGCAGTTAAGAGCACTGGCTGCTCTCACAGAGGACCCAGGTTTGATTCCCAGCACCCACATGGCAGCTAACAACCATCCATAACTACAGTTCCAGAGGATTCAATGCCCTCTTCTGACCTCCCCAGGCATTGCATGACATGGGTGCACATACATAGATGCAGGCAATACATGAATACATATAAAATAAAAATTATAAATAAAATATTTTAAATTAAAAAAATAATTACCAATCCCTCCTCCCTACCCTTGATAAAAATTATCAAAAAGTAAACTGAAGCAGAAATCTTTTTGAAGAGTTTATTTGAGCAGGGGTTGGGGATATAGCTCAGTCGCCCAGCATGCACAAAGCCTTGGGGCTGATCCCTAGAACTCCATAAACCAGACATGGTAGCACCTGTCTGTTACCCCAACACTTGGGAGCAGAGGAAGGAGGGTTAGAAGTACAAGTTCATCCTTGGCTACATAGCAAGTCTGAGGCCAGCCTTTGTTTCAAAACCGACCAAACAAACAACAAACCCTTGAGTTTATTGGAGCAAGCAGTGATTTCTGAAGTAGAAAGTTGGAAAGAGAAGTGGTTCAAATACTCCAGGAAGGGAGCCCAAGAGGGAGGCATTTATTGGTCGGACACGCACCAAAAAAGCAAAGAAAGTATTTGATTGGTTGCTGATCAGTTGCCTTACTTTGTCTTTCCAATTGGAAAGTCATATATTTGTTGGTTGTTTCTGCTTGGTTGAGCTAAGTTCTGCTTTCCTTCTCCCTTCCTTCTTCCCTCTCTCCCTCCCTCCTTCCTTCCTTTGTTTTCAGACAGGGTTTTGTTGTGTAGCACAAGCATAACTTGAACTTACTCTGTTCCTCCAGCTGGCCTTGAACTTTCAATTCTCCTTCTTTAGCCTTCCAAGGAACTTGGAATACAGGACTGTGGCACCATGCCTGTTTCTAGTTCCCATTAATATAGACATTTGCAAAAATAGCTCCAGTTAGGTTTCACTTCTGTTTGCAAAGCAAAGTTTGTGGTGCCTGACTGATATATCTGACGGAATCTGACGGATTCTTCAGCCAGGTTTTTTTTTTTTTTTTTTTGGTCTTTCTGAGATAGGGTCTCCCTGTAGTCCCAGCTGGCCTGGCACTTGCTATATAGACCAGGCTGGCCTTGAACTCGAAGAGATCCACCTGCCTCCACCTCCAAAGTGCTGTAATTAAAGGTATGCACCATCACACCTGGCTTCTTCAGGTCATTTTAAATGCCACAGTTTATTTTCTGTTTCTGTGAATTTGATGGCAGTAGGTGACTCATTAACATGGAATCATACAATATTTGTTTTCTTGTGACTGACTTGTTTCACTTAGCACAATGTCTGAAAGATTCATGTGTATT